TGTGTGTGTGTGTGTGTGTGTGTGTGTGTGTGTGTGTGTGTGTGTGTGTGTGTGTGCATGCGCACATGTGCATGCATGTATGCCAATGCACGCATGTATAGTGGTGCACAGACATTAGTGTGTACTTGCTATGGAGGCCAGAGAACAAGCTAGGGTTGTCGTTACTTAGGTGTTAACACACCATTCATCTGCCCGTCTCTGCCTCCTCAGTGTCGGGGTCTGTGGTTCAAACTCACATCCTTGAGCTTACAGGGCAAACATTACCACCTGAGCCGTCTCCCTGGCCCCAAGAAGAGTGATATGTGAGTGGACACATAATGACTAGCCGACGAGGAAAGGAGGCTGAAAAAGGGAACCCCGTAGGTCAAGGACCGGAAGGAAAGGGCTCTAAGACATGTTTGCAAAATAGTAGTTCTTAGGGAGTTCATGGTAATTGGATGGGCAGTGTGGCCACAGGCATCAGTGGGAGCACAGCACAGATTCTTACACATCTTTGTGGGCTTTATCCTGTAGACACAGGAGTCTCTGGAGGGTTTTAAGTTGAACTGCCCATACCTGCATTTAGGTGACAGGTCAGGTTGTGGGCTGTAGGAGGCTGTCAGTGAAGGAAGAACAGCAGGGTCTCTCATGGTGTGTCAGCTTATGATCTAGCCAGCCTAGAGGGAGAGGGAAACCCCCAATTGGGGAGATAGTTAAAAAAAAAAAAAAAAAAAAAAGCAGCATGAGCTTTTGTTTTGTTTCAGAAAGCAAGGTGGGCCAGGGACTCTGGAAAACACCTGTGCCATAAAATTCCCGAAACAATGGTTAAAGTATAATGGATGCCCTTAGAAGTATACACCTGGATCCATAGGAAGACAAGGAATATTTCAATGGTCAGAGAGAGAGAGAGAGAAAGGAAGAAAGAAAGAAAGAGAGGGAGAAAGAGAGGAAGTAAGGAAAAAAGAAAGAGGAGAGAGAGGAAGGAAGGAAGGAAGGAAGGGAGGGAGGGAGGGAGGAAGGAGGGAGGGAGGGAGGGAGGAAGGAAGGAAGGAAGGAAGGAAGGAAGGAAGGAAGGAAGGAAGGAAGGAAGGAAGGAAGGAAGGAAGTGAAGGTCTAGGTACTATGCAAAGGTACCCATTCCTTAACCCAAATGGTGCCAAGGTCTGCACAAGATGAAGATGTGGAGCAGTAAGCTTCCACTCTCGGCCCCTCCTTATTGTCCTGCCTCAGCCTTCCAGGTTGCTAGGATTGCCCACCGGCACCTTCCCAAACTGGGCTTGAAGCCCCCAGTCTCAACCTGCCTCCTGCTTCTCACTCAGTAAATGATAGTTGCTATTATTATTATTATTATTATTATTATTATTATTATTATTATTATTATTTGATTATTGGTATTGTGATTGACACTAATAACAAGGTAATGATAATAATGTGTTTGCTTACTCAATCAATGAAATACTATTTCATGCTTCCATCTGGGGGCATACTGAGGACACAAAGATGTATGAAATAGTCTGAAGGAATTTTCTGTCTACTTCCGGCTAAAGGATAAGCATAGTTCAAATGGACAGCGTGGCACTTGCTTCTGGGGTTAGACAGGGGCGTGACAATAAAAAGACTCCGCTCACCTGCTGTGGACTCCATTCCTTCTTGACGGTTCTAAGAAAAAAGACGTCCCAGGTCAGAGCTAGAATCCCAGTGTGCGTGAGGATTTCTTCCTGGGCCTTTTTTTGTTCCTTTTCTTGCTTTGTCTTTTAAACAAGGATTGTAACTCAGTGTTTTGGGAGTGGTGGATATTTTCTTCGTTTTTTTTTTTTAAAGACAGGGTCTCGTTATAAGGCATCCCTTGAACTCGCTATGTAACCCAGCCTGGCCTTAAACTCTTGATCCTCCTGCCTCGGCTTCCCGGATCCAGTGCAATATTCAGTGCAGAGTCTGAGAAACCATATGGTAGAAAGGCATGACTTTCTTTCTTTCCCCTGACTTAATGTGCAGTCATAAATGTTCATGAATAATGAACTGTTACATCATCTTGCTGGGAAGTTGACTGAGTGAGTTAAGTGCCTCTCACACACGCCTGGTGACCTGCATTCTGATCCCAGAACCGGTGCAGAAGCCAGACGTAGCAGCATGCATGCATCGTCATCCCTGCATGCCTGTGAGAAGGCAGGGGGCAGAAACAAGAGAGCCCTCAGAAATGGAAAGGCTGGTAGCCTTTGGGAGGCGAGAGCCCACATCAGAGGCTGGCCTCGTACGTCTACATCTGGGCCCTGGTACATGGCTTTCCCGTCCCTCTCCTCCCCCATCCCTTCCCTCTCACAGACACATGCAAATTAAAAAGAAGAAAAGTTAATAAAACCCCACATCCGATTACCTGGCACCTCTGTGCCCGAGTTTGGAGAAACGCTGCCATTTTGCCATTTCATGGCTAGTTTTTATGGTCAACAACAACAAATTGTAGTTCTAATTTTTTTAACTTTCTTTTTATTTATTCCTTGCGTCTTTTCATATCGCGTATCTCAATCCCATTCATTTCCCCGTCCCTTCATATCTGCCCTCTGCCCTTGCAACCCTCCCCTCAAAAAAATTTAAGAGAAAAAAAGAAAAGGGGGGAAAAAAGGAAAAATCTTGTTGTGGAAGTTGTACTGTGACCCACTGAATCACACAGTAAACCCTCTTGTCCACATATCTTTACGTGCAAGTGTTCATTGCAAAGAGTCATTGGTCTGGTCCGAAGCCTCTGGTTTCTGCTACACTATTGATGCTGGGCCCTCACTGGGACTCCTCTTGAATATCCTGTTGTTGCCCAGTATCATGGAAATCCTTAGCTTTGGGTCTGTATGACCAGCCCCTTCACGTGCCCCCATAGATCATAGATGGAGTGGATATTGGGGTGGGCCAACTCATACCCCTGATTCTGGGCCCGGGCAGTTACAGGGTTGGTCAGCTCACTAGCTCTCCCCTGTCCTTACCACCGGGGTGAGCCCTCCAGCACTGCCCTGGCTAGTTCAGTCCTTGCAGCAATGAGCAAGGAGTGGGGCCAGTTCTCCCAGTTTCACACCCTCAGGGCTGGCTCTCCTGCACCTGGACCATCAGGGTCAGCTCTGCTGCCTCGGCCAGGCAAGGTACAGGGGCCACTCTCCTGAGTGCCGCAGCTGCTGAGGGGTAGGGACAGCCCTCCTACTCTTAATGACCTCAGGGCCAGCTCTCCCACCTGCCTCAGGTTGGGGGGGCATCTCTGCATCTCTTCCCCCCCCCCGCCCCCCCCCACCATACGGCAGATGAGGGGCGGGGCCCGATCTCCCATGGTCACATTCTCAGCACGGTTCACCTGTCCTCTGTCAATAGGGTCAGCTCTCCTGCGCTGTCCAGGCGAGGTGCAGGGCTCGATTTCCCAGGTGCTGCAGCTGGTAATAAAGGGGAGGGTCAGCTCTCTTGCCCGCCGCAGGTGGCAGGAGGGGAGGAGGGCATCTCTCTCTTTTTTTTTTTTTTTTTTTTAGCAGTGGCATTCTGGTTGCTCACCATGTTGGGATGGAGTTTTTCTTTGAATACATATGTATAGACGTCTAATTTTGTGTGCTTTGCAGTTCATTTAGTTTTATTATCCAAAATAAACCAGGAGCATTTACGAATCTGAGATGGCTCAGTGAGTTTCAACAGGACATGTGACCCATCATGAGCCAGCACACTTTCGGGGTCCGTTCATGAGCCTCGAGACAATCCTATAAAGTTCAAGTTCCCCGGGAATGCTTTTTTGGAGGCCTGAGGTTATTTATCCAGGGATTAATAAATAACCATCAGATTTGTGTCCCGTGGAAAGCATGCCTAGTGAAATTTCTTTTCCAGCAGTAGACTGAGGAGTCAAAGGGGACTTTGTAAGCTGGGGCAGACCAGTCTGTGTGTGAGACAGTAGCCGATAGATTCTCGTGTAAACATGAGTGCTTTCCTTAGTGGCGCACTAAACCCTGGGGGCTTCCTCAGCACTGTCTGGGTCGGGCTCCCGGAGCCCCGGTCAGGGGCGGGAGGTTGTACCGAGGGTTTTTGATCCAAGTTTTCTTTCCAGGCTTAGTAAGTTGCAGGATCCCTGCAGGCTGTGGTATGTCCTGATCTTAGAAACGCTCGGAGCAGAGAGAAGGATACAGCACCTCTCTGCCGTGGCTCCTCCGCCCGCATGGGTGACCTCTTCTGGCTGACCCGGACTGCTTGGACCCGATGGTAATTCTGTCCTTCTTGACCTCCCAGGAAAGATCAGAACCTGTTGTCTCCAGTGAACTGCTGGTACTTGCTCCTGAACCAAGTGAGGCGAGAAAGCAAAGATCACGCCACCCTGAGCGACATCTATCTGAACAACGTCATCATGCGGTTCATGCAGATAAGCGAGGATTCCACCCGGATGTTTAAAAAGGTAGAGTCCATCCCTCCCTGCCATCCCAAACTTCCAGATAACCACCTTACCTACAGCCACTTAGGAGGAAGTGCCTGAAAAGACTGAAAGGCGCCAATATTCTGAACTCGAGCGTGTGTGTTTATACTGTATGTTTGTGCACGGTGTGTGTGTATACATGTATGTGCATATGTATAATGCATACAGCATTATCTACTGGATATATTTATTTCTCTTCATTAAATTAATGAATATCTGACCTGAGCATCATGAAGGAAGGTATTTGGGGGGTATGGGTCCCTGCAGGGGGGTGGAGAGGTGGCTCAGCAGTTAAGAGTTCACACTACTCTTGCAGAGGAAGTGAGTTTGGTTCCCAGGACCCAGGTTGGGCAGGCAGCTCACAACTCCAGATCCACGGAGATCTGATGCCTCTGCCCTCCCTGAGCATGCGCATTGATATGCACATACCCATTCACAAACACACACACACACACACACACACACACACACACACACACACACACACACTTAATGAAAATAATAAACATCTTTTTTTTTTTTTTAAAGTACCTGCAGGGCTTATCTTTGTCCTTAGAACTGACCTCCACACTTAGAAAAGAGCCGCACTTGGAGAGGAGAAGCCTCGGGTTCTGGTTTTCCCAGCTCACACGTGACCAGACTTGTAAAGCACATCACGTGTGTTGACCTCCCAGGAAAAGGTTACCACATTGTCTTCTTACTCCAGGCTGCAGGGTCTCTGAGAGTGAAATGGAAAAAAAAAAAAAATTATACTGGGCCCAGAAAAATTCAGTTTCTAATGTGTGAGAGAGCTTCCTCCTTCCTGACTCCATTTACAAGAAACAAAGAAACGGGGTGGGTGTGGGGGTGACGGACGGAGGGACGGAGGGACATGGGACACGACGACAACGACGACTGGGCTTGTAAACCTTCCTGAAATGGTTAGCTTCAGTCAGCTCTCAGCGAATATCTTCGTTGTTTGGACACTTCTGTTGAGAACAACAACAACAACAACAACAAAACAAACTTGGAGCATTTCCTGTGCAAAGGACACACACAGCGCCTTACCCGGCTTTCAGTTTCTGTGCTGAGAGCCGGAGTCTCCACAGACCTCCTCAGCTTGGTCTGGATAGTGTCCTGTGCCTAGATTTATGCCCAGACCTTTCTTCAGTGGGTACTGTTTTAGCTTCAGAGAAGGAGGTGCACCCTGCCGATTCACAATGCATTTGTGTTTCCAAGGAGCCTCTTACAACAAGGGTACAGTGTCATGCGGGCCAGCCGTGCTTGATGTGGCCACGTTCGTTCGGTTTGATGTCTGACCTAGAAATGGAAATTTAGCGAGCTCTAAGTCGTTGTGTGCTGGGTCCAATGGAGGGGGAAGCTGTTTCCAGCAAAGAACTTTCTATGCTGGACCTAAGGCTAGGTAGAGCAATATCTCCACATCTTAAATAAGAGCACTTAAAAATATGTATTAGTAGAGTTGGGGATTTAGCTCAATGGTAGAGCGCAAAGGCCCTGGGTTCGATTCTCAGCTCAAAAAAAAAAAAAAAAAAAAAAAAACCTTCAAAAATATGTATTAGTTTCCACAGAGCTAGGAAAGTGACAGACTCTTCTGGCCCCGCCATGAGCACCGTCTGTGGAGACTGCATACAGTTTTGTGGGATCCATGAGCATCTGCAGTGGTGTGCAGATGTTGCACATCAGGCAGCCACGGTGGAGAAAGGACTGACCTCAGGAAGGTTGCAGTGAATCCACATTTGGATGCTACTGAAAGATGCTTCCCCGACATGGGGGTTTTGGCAAGGATTCAGCCAGGACCTACATGGGCATCTCCTCGTTTATTCATCCACCGAGCAAAACATCTGTAAGCTGTGTGGCTGGCAAAGCTGAGTGAAAAGACATGCCCCGGCTTGCAAGGAACTCGTTATTGTCATTAAGCATTCCCAAGCTAAAGGGATGCGGAGCTCACTATAGGGGCCTGGAGGATGAGGAGCTTCACTTCCCTAGGGGACAGGGAAAACTTCAGAGAAGTAGCTCTGGAAATGAAGGGGCCACTTTGGTGAGGCAAGAAAAGGTGAGCCTTTCTGGGGCCTGCGGGGCATGCGTGTATGGAAAGTACAGAGTGGTGTGGGGCTGGCCTGGGCTGATAGGACAGGGGATGGGTGATACAATAAAGGCTAGCAAAGACGACAATAAGGAGAGACCTGGTATGACAGGGGTCCGGGCTTTAATGACATTGGTAGACACTAGGACCGACAGTCACATGTATTTGGGTGAGAACTTGGCTCTTCGGCTTCCTTGTTTTGTGATCTCGGGAGATGTTCAAGACATTCTCTTCCAGAGAAAGAACGTAGCAAGGTTGGGCAAAGGGGGGGGCTGAAGCTGTGTGAGCTCCTGGACTGGGAGCGCCCCTGGAGTTGTCTGCTCTCCAGGCAAGGAGCCCCAGGCTTTTTGGTTCGGAGCCCTTGAACTTGGAGTGCTCTTGAGAAAGGCGGCCCCCTTTAATGGAGGGGAATTCTCAAGAGCGGTTGGTTCTCAGGGAGAGCTCAGCTCCTTAGTCCCATCAGTCCACGGTCCATGTTCCCAGTAGTTGGGGAAATGAATTCCTAATTTGTAAGGAGGAATCTGGGAAATGCACAGTAAATAAAAAGGCAGACACATGCCTGCTTGTTTGCTCCTAGAATTCATTACTTATTTAGATTCTAAGGCTTACTGTATGCGCAGTGGGTTCCTGCTAACTTGGTTGTTTCGCGAGAGTGTTCCGTACATCTTGAACAGCCTTCTCTCTCTCAGTCACGGCAGATGAGCTGGAAAGGACCAGTCATTACAACCACAAGGACAAGGCTTACTGGGGAACTGTTTCAGCCTGCTCACATCCGGGTCCAACTCATAGCCCTCCTGCAGTCGAGGACACCACACATGTGGCCCAACACAAAATCACCAACTTACTCAAATCGGTCCTTGTCACTTGATGTGAATGGCCGAACGCATCTGACATTAGGACACTGGTTTGGGCTATAGTCCTTTCTTGCAAAAATCTGTATCACAACCGGGCGGTGGTATCACATGCCTTTAATCCCAGCACTCAGAAGGCAGAGGTAGGCAGATCTCTGTGAGTTCAAGGTGAGCCTGGTCTACAGAGGGAGATCCAGGATAGACAGGACTGTTTCACAGAGAAACCCTGTCTCAAAAAACTTAAAAAAAAAAATCTGTATCACCCCTAAGCAGAGACTAAAAGACCGTAAGGTCTCCGTATACGAACACAGAGACACTTGCTCACCCATAGTTTTTTGCCGCTCTCTTCACAATACTAGGGAATGGAATTAGCCTTGGTGTCCACCAAGGCTATGAACAGATAATAAAAATGTGGTACGTACACCCGACAGAATTTCTTCATCTGCAGAGAAAAATGAAATTTGCAAATAAATGGATGAAGCTGGGGGAAAACATCTTATTCCCCGAGGTGACCCAAGCACTGAAAGACAAATGCCATGTGCTGTCTCTCATATGTGTGGTCTACTTTTGGATCTTTAGTGTTGTGTATTTAACTTTCAGTACCTGCAGGAAACTAGGAACGGGCCATTGGACTGGGGGATGCCTTCGGGAGGAGGGCCAGGGGTGGGAGGTTTCAGCGGGCATAGGGGTGGGGGTGAGGAGGATGAAGATAGAGTAGCAGAGAGTTGGCCAAAAACCACAAATGTATGAAAAAAAAACTGTTGCTGTGTAAGCTAATTAAAAATATAAGTTAAGAGAAGGAGATGCCCTGCATGGCTGACTAGTACTAATTCTAGAACCCCAGGGTTATTGTAAGTACAGCTGGAAGGCCTCACCGGAGGAGCTTCCCGTTTGCAGCAGATGGCTAATACAGAGATTCGCAACGGACCAAGGTGCAGAGAAGAATTCATCAGTGCCGGAGTGCTCGGCTCTAAAGGCATCATCTATATTACCCCCACCGCTCCCAAGGCTCTGGGACCGTAATCGGAGGGGGAAACAGAAATATTTTAAGAGCCAGGGGTCGAGGAAGACAGCTGTGAAACAGTGAGTTCTGGATGTGACAAAGCCATCGTCCCCAGGAACGCATAGCCGCTGTGGCTGCCTGCGTGAGACCCACGTGAGATCAAGCCAGGGAATAATTCTACCGTGGACGGCAGGGAGAGCTGTGGGCGGTTGAGAGCGGCTGGGGGAAGAAGAATCGTTTTCTTCAGGAATATGCTTCAGGGTAGGTCGCTCGAGCTCCGGTGGCCGGCCCTGCGCCCATGCACATATGGGCACACTAATTGGACTCAGTGAGTTATTTTAAAAGAAAGAAAGAGAACATGGAGTTGGGAAGGCGGTGCAGTAGAAGGGTCCATGGAAGGAGTTGGAGGGGCAAGAAGGAAATTTCAAGATAGATGTCTCAGTGCCAAAAGTCCCTAGTGGGATTCTCCTTAGGAGTTGTTGGTAAGAAAAAACCCCAATACCCACAAAACAATACATGCGATTACCATTCCTCCCAGTTGCCTACTGGTAAGTCCCTGTTGTTGAGGACCTTCATCACCGTCCACCTCCATCACAAGACACAGAGAAATCAAGTTCAAACTGAGCTGGAAACTTCCTCCCTACCGGCTAGCTTTCTTAGACCCTGAAATACAGGCTAATAGGGGAAGAAAACCATAAACAGCCTTAACCAGCTGTGACCCCTCTGAACTGCCATGCCAACCTGCCAAGCAAGATGTACCCACAAGGGCACCATTGGTATGACTGTTACATGGGTAACCAAGTGGTCTCTGATTGGATTCGAGGCCAGTGTCACAGGAGGGAATTAATGCCTGGTTCTGTGAACTCAGTCAAAAATCCATGGCTGAGGAAGTCTTGGGCCCTAGGGGTAACTTATTATTGTGTGACTCGGGGAGGGGAGTTATAGACCCTTATCACTCCCCGCTGAACGAGAGGCTACTGGTGAATTCTCGGGGAGGAGAAGCCATTGTCTTTAATTGGGTATCCATAGATGAGCCCACCAGGCT